TGTGGTAATGTTAATGTGTGGAGACAAAGAACTTTTGTCTATGGAAGCAAAAAGAGGGGAAATGTGTGAGAGTAAAGTTTATACCAACACATTTGTATGGGTGTACTCCTCACATAATTGTGGTTGCTGAGGTTTGATACTCACTCCTGCCCCAGTGTGAAAAAAAAAAACATGGGTGATGAAATGTTGCCAATGGAGGCGGAAAGTGGAGCAGTTGGGAGATGTCATTGTCTAAGGACAATGTGTGGTGTGAATATAAAGCAGAGAATTATCGTAGTATTGTGGAAATTAGGAGGATGTGCCGGGAGTACAAAACTATTTCCAGAAGGCTTGAGGGGTGTTGAAAGTGGTTTGGATATGTAAGAGAATGGAATGACACAGAATGCCTTTGAGAGTGTATAAATCTTAGTGGAGGGAAGGCGGGGTAAGGGGTTTGGCCTAGAAAAGGTTGGCGGGAAGGGGGAAACCGAGGATTTGTGTGCGAGGGGCTTGGACTACCTCAAGCATGCTTGAGCGTATTTGATAGGATTGAATTGAGACAAATGGTTTTTAATACTTACATGCTGTTTGGAGTGGACAAGTAACATTATGAAGGGATTCAGGGAAACCAGCAAGGCCTAGACTTGAATCATAGAGATAGGAAAGTACAGTGTCGCACCTGATAGGAGGGTTGTTAACTGTTTGCAGTATTTATAACTGTAGTAAAAGCACCCTCACTGGCAAGACAGTGATGAGTGAATGAATGATGAAAAGTTCTCTTTTTTCCGGGCCACCATGCTATGTGGGAATTCGCCGATATGTTCAAAAAAAAAAATTTTTATGTTGGTGTGTACTCCAAGATCCAATCTGTTCTTGAATCCATGTAAATTAAAATCCTTTGGATTCATTGGCAATTTAGAGCAACAAAAGCTTGTTAAAGTAAAATGGGTAAAAAGGTATTGTAATATTAGCAGGAAGCAAGCCATAGTCCTTAAGAATTATGAAATTCCTATACCTGGAGGGGTGTTCCTGAGGTCAAGCACACCCCTGCAGCCTGGTCCATGTATCCAGGCCCTTGTGGTGGATCGGGCTTGAACCAATCAGGCTTTTAACGCGGCTGTACACAAAATTTGAAGTACATATGTAAGTTTAGGTGTGTTGGTTTTTAGGTCCGTCAGTTTAGGTGCCTGTCCAGCTCCCTCTGAAGACAGCCAGTGGGTCTGTGTTAGTTATTAATATTATGTTTATTATCACAAACCGCCGATTCCCACCAAGCAGTTGGCCCGAAAAGAAAAACTTTCACCATCCTTCACTCCATCCACTGTCTTGCCCGAAAGGGTCTTTAAACACTACAGTTTATTAAACTGCCACATTAACACCCCTCCTTCAAGTGCAGGCACTGCTTCCCAACTCCAGGACTCAAGTCGGCTGCCGGTTTCCCTGAATCCCTCATACATTTACTTTGCTCACACTCCAACGCACGTCAAGTATTAAAAACCATTTGTCCCTTCACTCCTATAACACGCCTCAACGCATGCCTGCAGTAAGTCCAAGCCCCTCGCACACACCACCTTACCCCCTCCATCAACCCTTCCAGGCCGTCCCATACCCCCCGCCTTCCTTCCACTACAGACAGATACACTCTTGAAGTCATTCTGTTCGCTCTCATTCTCTGCATACATGTCAGAAACCACCCTCAACACCCCTCCTCATCCCCTCTGGCTACAGATTTGGTAATCCCGCACCTCTCCGACTTCCAAACTACGAATTCTCTGGCATTAAATTACACCAACACATTGCCCTCAGACATGACATCTCCACTGCCCTCCAGCCTTCTCCTCGCTGCAACATTCATCACCCACGCTTCCACCCGCATTAAGAGCGTTAGGTACACTATACTCTCATGAATTCCCCTCTTTGCCTCCAAGGACAAAGTTCTTTGTCTCCACATACTCCTAAGTGCAACCACTCACTCTTTAATTTTCCCTCATCAATTCGATATTCACCTCATCTTTCATAGACCCATCCGCTGACAACGTCCACTCCCAAATATCTGAATACGTTCACCTCCTCCATACTCTCGCATTCTCCCTCCAATCTGATATTCATCTTTCATCACCTTAATCTTTTTGTTATCCCTCATAACCTTACTCTTTCCCTGTATCACCTTTAATTTTTCTTCTTTTGCACACCTAAATCCAATCATCCACCAATCGTCTGCAATTCCTCTTAGAATCTCCCCAAGAGCACAGTGTCATCAGCAAAAGAGCACTGTGACAACTCCCACTTTGTGTGTGATCATTATCCCTTTTAACTCCAACGCCTCTGCCAAGAACCCTCGCATTTACTTCTCTTATTACAAACCCCCATCTAAAATATATTAAACAACCACGGTGACATCACACATCCTTGTCTAAGGCCTACTTTTACTGGAAAAAAATTTCCCTCTTTCCTACATACTCAAACTTGAGCCTCACTATCCTCATAAAAACTCTTCACCTGCTTTCAGGTAACCTACCTCCTACACCATACACTGGCAACATCTGCCACATTGCCCCCCTATCCACCCCTGTCATAACGCCTTTCCAAATCCATAAATGCCACAAAGACTCCTTTAGCCTTATCTAAATTACTGTTTCACTTATATGTTTCACTGTAAACCACCTGGTTCAACACAACCCCCTACCTTTCCTAAAGCCTCTTGTTCATCGGCTATCCTAATTCTCCGTCTTACTCTTAATTCTTTTCAATTTTTTTTTTTTTTTTTTTTTTTTTTTTTTTTTTTTTTTTTTTTTTTTTTTATTTTTAAACTCTACCATACACTATACCCAGAACACTCAACAGACTTATCCCCCTATAAATTTTGCCACTCTCCTTTTATCCCCTTTGCCTTTAGACAACGGAACTAGCAAAGCTCTCTGCCAATCCCTAGGTACCTTACCCTCTTCTTACATTAATAAATAATTGCACCAACCCTCCAAAACTAATATCCCCACCTACTTTTAACATTTCTATCTTTATTCCCCATCAATCCCGGGTGCCTTATACCCCCTTTCATTTACATACAGGCCTCACGAACTTCCCCCACACTCACAACTGGCTCTTCCACACTCCTACAAGATTTTATTCCACCTTGGCCCTATACACGAAATCAACAGCTTCCTATCTTCATCAACATTGAACAATTCCTCAAAATATTCCTTCCACTTCAACTTTCCCATAACCTCTAACTCTCCATTTAATAACTCTCCTCTCCTATTTTTTAACTTGACAAATATCCATTTGTTCTCTAGGCTTTCTTAACTTGTTAATCTCACTCCAAAACTTTATCCTTATTTTCATTCAACAAAAATTTTGTCTGATAACATCCTCACCCACCTCTCTCATTTGCTCTCTTTTTACATTGCTTTCAATCACCACATCACTTAACTTCTCTCTTGTTCCTCCATCAACCGTTCCCTCCTTGCATCACTTCTACTTTGTAAAAACTTCTCAATGCCTAACTTTTTCTCCCTTACTACACTCTTTACATCATCATTCTCAACCAATTCGCTCCTTCTCACCTCCTGCACCCACTTTCCTGTAACCACAAACTTCTTCTGAACACTCATAAACTACTTTTAAAAACCTACCACCAACCTCTTCGACCCCATTGCCTAGCTCTCATTAGCCCATCTATCCCCAATGCTGTTAAATACTACCCTAACTGCCTCCTCTTTTAGTTTATAAACCTTCACTCTCTCTTCCTGATGCTCTATACTCCTTGTATCCCACTACCTTTACTCTCAGGAGCAACAACTAGAAAGAGAGCTGATAATCTCTGTGCCCCTCTATAAACATGTACATCCTGAAGTCTACTCAACATCTTTTATCTAACCAATACATAACCAACAAACTATGTCAATTCGCCCTACATCAATCGTGTATACATATTTATCCTCTTTTTTCTTAAATATGTTATTAACCATAACTAAACCCTTTCTATACAAAGTATCAATCAAAGGGCTCCCTTTATCATTTACACCTGTCACCCCAAAAACTTACCTACCAAAACCCGTCTCTAAAAGTTTCTCCTACTCTTTAGCATTCAGATCCCCCACCACAAATCCTCTCGTCACTTGGTTCAAAGGCTCCTATACATTCACTTAAACATCTCCCCAAATCTTCTCTCTCTCTCCTCTGCAATCCTCCTCTTCTCCAGGTGCATACACCGCTTATTATGACCCACTTCTCGCATCCAACCTTTACTTTAATCCACATAATTCTTGAATTCATAGAGCTCTGTACCTCCCGTTCCTTTAAGACTTTCCTAAAATGGGCCATAACATTGTCATTGTACAGGTTGCCAACACGGCTTGCAGTAGCTGTGTCAGGGTGATTTTCATCCGTAAATGTTTGCAGTTCAACCCACTTTGCACACATTTCCTTAATCTCTTTTTTCAATTCCATACTAATTCTCACCCTCTTTACCACAGGGATGGCACTAAAAGCTTTCTTGGGGTCCATGGTGACTTATTTTGCAGTTACAAGCACTAAAAACACTGGGATAATGTGAAATGTACCGAATGTATGCGTAGATGCGACCGCACTGGCTGGCTTGTAAACACTGGCACTGAGGCCACACGTGGGACGCGTCCCGGATGAATCATGCAAGGCGAGTTTTTTATCATGAGGCGAGGCAAAATTTTTGCATTCAAATGCTTCGTATGGCGGATTTAATGTAACGCAATGCGTTCGTAAGGCGGGGGTCCACTGTACATTATTTAGGTATGAATACTGGTCAAAGAGCCTGTTGTAAGTAAACGAGTACATTGTTAAGTGAGGAGAGGCTCTACATTATTGTATTTGCTGTTATTTTAATATGGATCATTGTTTTTAAACATACAGCATTTTATCACTACATTTGATTGTGTATAGAAAATATTCTTGCTTTACCGGAAGATGTTATAGTACGTATATGGTAAACATACTGCTTTGTAGCTCTAAATACAATTTAGCAATACAGATATTTTTTATTACAGAGCATCCCTTAGACGCTCTTGTATTAAGAAAACGAGTTCTAGCATAAACCCAGAAACAAGTCCAGTATTATCACCACCATCCACTTCACCTGTGGAGGTCACATCAGACAACATGGTACCCTCTACCACAATTACTATCTCCCCCAGTGGAACGTCTACTGTTACAATTAATACATCAGCTACTATCAACACTAACCTTAACAATAACAACATTAATGACTTCTACAAGTCTGCAAACAACAATGAAACTACAGAAAATACTGAGGAGCACTGTCCAGTACCCCCTCTTAGAAGTTTACGACCAATACCACCTCTAAGAGCAACAGTAAGACGGCAGGTAAAGTTAATTTAAGTTCTTGGTTACATTTTGTTTAAAATTTCTTAATTTATGTTTTAGACAAAAACCAGGCACATTAGCCAGGTTAAGCTATAAGATATCTTGTGATTTTTAAGTATTCATTCAATGTATTGTGAAATATGAATACTGAAATATGTATTTATTTTTCTTAGCACATCAGCCATCTTCTTCTAAATTAGGGTGACTTGAAAAAAAATAAATGTTTTCACTGTCATTCATTCTTTTACTTTCTTGCCAGAAGCATACCATTATCACAGCTTGGATAACCTTCCAAACTAAAACATCTCTATTCCTCCTTCAGAGTGCAGGCACTGTACTTCCCACCTCCAGGTCTCTAAGTCCAGCTAACCGGTTTCCCTGAATCCCTTCATAAGTGGCACCTTGCTCACGCTGCAACAGAACCTCAAATCATAAAAGTCACTTACCTCCACTCCTATCTAACATGCTCACACAAGCCTGTTGGATGTTCAAGTCCCCTAGCACTGAAAGCTTCCTCGGCCCCCTCCCTGCAGCCCTTCCTGGGATAATCCCTATTCCTCCTTCCCTCTACCCTAGATTTATATACCCTTCTAGTCATCATATTATGCTCCATCCTTTCTATATGTTCATACCACCTTGATAACCTCTCCTCCACCTTTTGAATAATATTCTTGGTAACCCCACATCTTCTCCTAATGTCCAAGTTACAAATTTAGTGCATAATATTCACACCACACATTGCCCACAAACATGACATCTTCACTGCCTCCACCCTCCACACTACATCATTTAAAACCCATGATTCACACCCATAAAACAATATTGGTACCACTGTTCTCTGGTACAGTCTCTTTTTGCCTCCATGGATAAGGTTCTTTGTCTCCACAGATGCCCAATGCACCACCCACTTTCCTTCCTTCACCATTTCTATGGTTTACCCCATCTTTCATTTTTCACCAAATGAACTTGTGTATTGAGCTAAAGCATGCTTAAGGAAAGAACAAATAATTATTTAAAAAAGATACTGCTGGTCATACAGCAAGGACTGTAGATAAAGATATAAAGAAAGGCATTTATTGTAGATAATGTTTTGTTCATGATGAGCTTTGTCAGTTCAGTTGGAAAGAATACCATAATATAGTACAAGTTTATATCCTTCCTCAGAGTGGAAGAGATTGGGAGGAAGTTAATTAGATGGAAGGTGAATAAGGTGAGTTAATTGATCACTAGTTTTGTTGCATAAATTTATAAGTTTGGGTATATCAAGTACACTAATAGTTTTGTAAGGATAAAAATATTAAACTGCATTTGGGTCTTACTTGTGATGTTTAAACTCAGATGGACTCTAAACATTATTTTTTTGCATATCTTCATTAATGGGTGTAACTTGGCACTGTTCCAAACCATTATATTGCCTTGCTATGATGGTGGATTACGTGTGTATTGTTAATGTTGTGGAGACAAAGAACTTTGTCTATGGAAGCAAAAAGGGGAATGTGTGAGAGTATAGTTATACCAACACATTTGTATGGGTGTACTCACATAATTGTGGTTGCAGAGGTTGAGACTCAGCTCCTGGCCCCAGTGTGAAACATGGGTGATGAATGTTGCAATGAGGAGAAGGCTGGAGGCAGTGGAGATGTCATGTCTAAGGACAATGTGTGGTGTGAATATAATGCAGAGAATTCGTAGTTTGGAAATTAGGAGGATGTGCGGGAGTACCAAAACTATTATCCAGAAGGCTGAGGGGTTGTTGAAGTGGTTTGGATATGTAGAGAGAATGGAATGAAACAGAATGACTTTGAGAGTGTATAAATCTGTAGTGGAGGGAAGGCGGGGTAGGGGTTGGCCTAGAAAAGGTTGGAGGGAGGGGGAAAAAGGAGGTTTTGTGTGCGAGGGGCTTGGACTTCCAGCAAGCATGCTTGAGCGTATTTGATAGGAGTGAATGGAGACAAATGGTTTTTAATACTTGACATGCTGTTGGAGTGTGAGCAAGTAACATTTATGAAGGGATTCAGGGAAACCAGCAGGCCAGACTTGAATCATAGAGATAGGAAGTACAGTGTCTGCACTCTGAAGGAGGGGTGTTAATGTTGCAGTTTTATAACTGTAGTATAAAGCACCCTCTCTGGCAAGACAGTGATGGAGTGAATGATGATGAAAGTTCTTCTTTTTCGGGCCACCTTGCCTTGGTGGGAATCGGCCGATATGTTAATAAAAAAAAATTTTTAATGTTGTGTGTACACAAATCCAATCTGTTCTTGAATCCTTGTATTAAAATCCTTTGGTATTTCATTGGCATTAGAGCAACAAAAGGCTTGTTAAAGTAAAATGGGTAAAAAGGTATTGTAATATTAGCAGGAAGCAAGCCATTTGTCTGAAGAATATGAAATCCTATACCTGGAGGGTGTTCCTGAGGTCAGCACCCCTGCAGCCTGGTCCATGACCAGGCCTTGTGGTGGATCAGGGCTTGATCAATCAGGCTTTTAACGCTGGCTGTACACAAATTGAAGTACATATGTAAGTTTAGGTGTGTTGGTTTAGGTACGTCAGTTTAGGTGCCTGTCCAGCTCCCTCTTGAAGACAGCCAGGGGTCTGTTAGTTATTATTATTTATTTTATTATCACACCGGCCGATTCCCACCAAGGCAGGGTGGCCCGAAAAAGAAAAACTTTCACCATCATTCACTCCATCACTGTCTTGCCAGAAGGGTGCTTTACACTACAGTTTTTAAACTGCAACATTAACACCCCTCCTTCAGAGTGCAGGCACTGTACTTCCCATCTCCAGGACTCAAGTCCGGCCTGCCGGTTTCCCTGAATCCCTTCATAAATGTTACTTTGCTCACACTCCAACAGCACGTCAAGTTTTTAAAAACCATTTGTCTCCATTCACTCCTATCAAACACGCTCACGCATGCCTGCTGGAAGTCCAAGCCCCTCGCACACAAAACCTCCTTTACCCCCCCCATCCAACCCTTCCTAGGCCGACCCCTACCCGCCTTCCTTCCACTACAGACTGATACACTCTTGAAGTCATTCTGTTTCGCTCATTCTCTCTACATGTCCGAACCACCTCAACAACCCTTCCTCAGCCCTCTGGACAACAGTTTTGGTAATCCCGCACCTCCTCCTAACTTCCAAACTACGAATTCTCTGCATTATATTCACACCACACATTGCCCTCAGACATGACATCTCCACTGCCTCCCGCCTTCTCCTCGCTGCAACATTCATCACCCACGCTTCACACCCATATAAGAGCGTTGGGTAAAACTATACTCTCATACATTTCCCTCTTTGCCTCCAAGGACAAAGTTCTTTGTCTCCACAGACTCCTAAGTGCACCACTCACTCTTTTTCCCTCATCAATTCTATGATTCACCTCATCTTTCATAGACCCATCCGCTGACACGTCCACTCCCAAATATCTGAATACGTTACCTCCTCCATACTCTCTCCCTCCAATCTGATATTCAATCTTTCATCACTAATCTTTTTTTTATCCTCATAACCTTACTCTTTCCTGTATTCACCTTTAATTTTCTTCTTTTGCACACCCTACCAAATTCATCCACCAATCTCTGCAACTTCTCTTCAGAATCTCCCAAGAGCACAGTGTCATCAGCAAAGAGCAGCTGTGACAACTCCCACTTTTGTGTGTGATTCTTTATCTTTTAACTCCACGCCTCTTGCCAAGACCCTCGCATTTACTTCTCTTACAACCCCATCTATAAATATATTAAACAACCCCGGTGACATCACACATCCTTGTCTAAGGCCTACTTTTATGGGAAAAAATTTCCCTTTTCCTACATACTCTAACTTGAGCCTCACTATCCTCATAAAAACTCTTCACTGCTTTCAGTAACCTACCTCCTACACATACACTTGCAACATCTGCCACATTGCCCCCCTATCCACCCTGTCATACGCCTTTTCCAAATCCATAAATGCCACAAAGACCTCTTTAGCCTTATCTAAATACTGTTCACTTATATGTTTCACTGTAAACACCTGGTCCACACACCCCCTACCTTTCCTAAAGCCTCCTTGTTCATCTGCTATCCTATTCTCCGTCTTACTCTTAATTCTTTCAATTATAACTCTACCATACACTTTACCAGGTACACTCAACAGACTTATCCCCCTATAATTTTTGCACTCTCTTTTATCCCCTTTGCCTTTATACAAAGGAAACTATGCATGCTCTCTGCCAATCCCTAGGTACCTTACCCTCTTCCATACATTTATTAAATAATTGCACCAACCACTCCAAAACTATATCCCCACCTACTTTTAACATTTCTATCTTTATCCCATCAATCCCGGGTGCCTTACCCCCTTTCATTTTACCTACTGCCTCACGAACTTCCCCCACACTCACAACTGGCTCTTCCTCACTCCTACAAGATGTTATTCCTCCTTGCCCTATACACGAAATCACAGCTTCCCTATCTTCATCAACATTTAACAATTCCTCAAAATATTCCTTCCATCTTCCAATACCTCTAACTCTCCATTTAATAACTCTCCTCTCCTATTTTTAACTGACAAATCCATTTGTTCTCTAGGCTTTCTTAACTTGTTAATCTCACTCCAAAACTTTTTCTTATTTTCAACAAAATTTGTTGATAACATCTCACCCACTCTCTCATTTGCTCTCTTTTTACATTGCTTCACCACTCTCTTAACTTCTCTCTTTTCTCCATATACTCTTCCCTCCTTGCATCACTTCTACTTTGTAAAAACTTCTCATATGCTAACTTTTTCTCCCTTACTACTCTCTTTACATCATCATTCCACCAATCGCTCCTCTTCCCTCCTGCACCCACTTTCCTGTAACCACAAACTTCTGCTGAACACTCTAACACTACATTTTTAAACCTACCCCATACCTCTTCGACCCCATTGCCTATGCTCTCATTAGCCCATCTATCCTCCAATAGCTGTTTATATCTTACCCTAACTGCCTCCTCTTTTAGTTTATAAACCTTCACCTCTCTCTTCCCTGATGCTTCTATTCTCCTTGTATCCCATCTACCTTTTACTCTCAGTGTAGCTACAACTAGAAAGTGATCTGATATATCTGTGGCCCCTCTATAAACATGTACATCCTGAAGTCTACTCAACAGTCTTTTATCTACCAATACATAATCCAACAAACTACTGTCATTTCGCCCTACATCATATCGTGTATACTTATTTATCCTCTTTTTCTTAAAATATGTATTACCTATAACTAAACCCCTTTCTATACAAAGTTCAATCAAAGGGCTCCATTATCATTTACACCTGGCACCCCAAACTTACCTACCACACCCTCTCTAAAAGTTTCTCCTACTTTAGCATTCAGATCCCCCACCACAATTACTCTCTCACTTGGTTCAAAGGCTCCTATACATTCACTTAACATCTCCCAAAATCTCTCTCTCTCCTCTGCATTCCTCTCTTCTCCAGGTGCATACACGCTTATTATGACCCACTTCTCGCATCCAACCTTTACTTTAATCCACATAATTCTTGAATTTACACATTCATATTCTCTTTTCTCCTTCCATAACTGATCATTTAACATTACTGCTACCCCTTCCTTTGCTCTAACTCTCTCAGATACTCCAGATTTAATCCCATTTATTTCCCCCCACTGAAACTCTCCTACCCCCTTCAGCTTTGTTTCGCTTAGGGCCAGGACATCCAACTTCTTTTCATTCATAACATCAGCAATCATCTGTTTCTTGTCATCCGCACTGCATCCACGCACATTTAAGCAACCCAGTTTTATAAAGTTTTTCTTCTTCTCTTTTTTAGTAATTGTATACAGGAGAAGGGGTTACTAGCCCATTGCTCCCGGCATTTTAGTCGCCTCATACGACACGCATGGCTTACGGAGGAAAGATTCTTTTCCACTTCCCCATGGACAATAGAAGAAATAAAAAAGAACAAGAGCTATTTAGAAAAAGGAGAAAAACCTAGATGTATGTATATATATATATGCATGTGCGTGTCTGTGAAGTGTGACCAAAGTGTAAGTAGGAGTAGCAAGATATCCCTGTTATCTTAGCGTGTTTATGAGACAGAAAAAGAAACCAGCAATCCTACCATCATGCAAAACAGTTACAGGTTTTTGTTTCACAGTCATCTGGCAGGACGGTAGTACTTCCCTGGGTGGTTGCTGTCTACCAACCTACTACCTATAGGGTCTGTTAGTAATCCCCCTTATGTATGCTGGGAGGCAGTTGAACAGTCTTATATACAAGAATGATAAAGCATTATTGTAAATGAAACATTGCAGGATAGCTGAAACTAAAGAAAATATTTCCTGTGATATTTGATACTCTTAGTGAGGACAGTATGGTGCATAATCTTTAGTGAGAAGGAAATTTTTTAACAATTATTTAGTGGGGATTGTAATTAAATCATGAGAATTCATGAAGAACAAGAACACAAGGGGTACTGGAAAAGAAGCAAGTGTAATGATCAGATTTTTGTCATCAAATGTTGATGTTATATGGTTGAAGGAAGGAAAGGCAGGTAGACAGCAAAAATGAATGCAAAGTTTTAAGAAATACAGTAATTCAAAATGTTTAGTGTTTGCATTAGAGGTATACAGGCAGCCCCCACTGTACAGCGCTTCATTTTATGTTGTTTCACTAATGCAGTGGTTGTCAATTTTATCCATTCTTCATTTATTCAGACTTCCTACAACAACTATATTCACCACTTGCTATAAGCTGAGGAAGAAAATATTTTAAGGTATTTAATGTGTGTTCTGTATGTGCCTTGTTTAGACCTAGCTCTATTGCTCACTTAATATATGATAGTGTAAACATGTTATCAGTCTTGTATATGAATTTGAAAGTGAAAAAAGGCTATGTTTCACTTTATAGCTATTTTCACTTGAAAGTAGCCCGGAACCTAACCTGCTGTACAAGTGGGGCCTGCTTGTACTATGTATGTGAGAGGAAGAATAAGGACAGTCTGTCTATGCTTACATACAGCACAACCTACTATAAACAGTGAAATATGGTAGATC